GGGCTCTGGAGCCGACAGGGGCCCCAAGGTCATCCCTGCCCTCAGTGCCCGCAACCGTGCCGAGCGCCTCGGCCCACCTGGCACGGGCGGCCGCTGTGAGCCGAGCCAACTGGTCAATCGGCTGCTTGAGTTTTCCAGGCAAAAGTGATTTCGCGAAATCGTTACGCGCCTGCGCTCTGGAGCCCTTTTTGGCCCTGGGGTCGCCTGCGCGCTGGGCCCCGCTACAGGCCTTGGCAAGGCCTCGGTGGCAGTACTGGGGTTTCATGCAATACATCCAGCACGCCACACAGACCAGAAACACGGGGCCATCACTGCCAGAAACGCGGGATTCCCGAAGCCAGGGCCGCCGACGCGCTCGACGCGTCTGCGGCTGGATCACTGGGCTCGACGGGCCCGTCGCCTGCCTCCTTCCTCATGCGGACCTTCGTGTCGACCTTCTCCTGGGCCTGGGCCCCCTGGCTGGCCGCAGCTGCCGCCGCCAACGCAGCGGCCGCCCCCACGGCCTCCAAGCCGCCAGAGCCGCGGGCCGCCGACTCCTCGGCCTCCAGCAGCTGCTCCAGGTCGGGCGTCGAGGCGAAGGGGTCCAGGTCCACGAGGTCCAGAGAGGTGAGCGGCCAGGCGTCCCTGAGCCCCGACTCGGTGATGTGCACCTCGAGGGCCGCCGCGCACCTGGCCACCTCCTTCGCCCGAGCTAGGCAGCCCTCCAACATCAGGGCGTCCTGCTCAGCGATTGCGTGGAAGGCCGCTCCCTCCTTTGCCCTGGCGTCGGCGCGCCTGTTGCCCAGGAGCTCGAAGAGGGTGAGCTCCCCGTCACGCACCGCGGCTTCAGTGCGGTGGGCGGGCACGTGGCGCATGTTTACGCCCTCCGATGCATCACCCACCCTGGCCCACACGTGGGCGCGCAGGGAGCTGGGGCCGCAGGCCTTGGTCAGGTTGGAAGCCGCCTCCACCGTGCTCAAGCAGTCGCTGAGCAGCGCGTAGTTCCCGACGATGTCGGCGAGGCCGATGGCGGCGGCGTAGCCCCCCCCTGCCTTGGCCGTCTGCGACGGGAGGTCGCTGGGGGGCACGGCTCCCCATGCCTCGGCTAGGAGCCCCCCCTCGGGCCCGCACACGATGACGGCCCACCCCGCGCTCCTGACGCGCGGGAAGTCCCCATTCAGGCACGAGCCGTCGGTGAAGACGAAGGACCCGTCTGGCACCACCAAGATGCCGCCCCCCCACCCGCAGGATCTCCACGCCCAGCTGTCATCCCAGACTGGCCTGGCAACGAGGAGGCTGATGTCGGCGAAGAGCCCCTGGCTGAAGAGCTCGTCGAAGGGGGGCCCCATGCGGTGGGCCTGCTCCGCTGCCTGCCTCACCTGGCACGGGCAGTAGTCCCGCCTCCAGGGCGCCCATGCTGGACACTCGTGGTGCCTGTGGTGCATCGTCCCAGGGGCGGCGCCGCAGAGCCTGCACAGCGGGTCGATCTCTCGCCCATGCCTTGCCAGTCGGGCCTGGGGCCAGCTGGCCAAGGACGCCAGGCGTCTCAAACAGCCTTTGTGGTGAGCCGTCCAGGTTTCCGATTCCTTGGCGCCAAGGAGCTGGTTGATCGGCGTCCACCACGGCGGCAGTCGCCACTGCCAGAAGGTCTCGGGCCTGCTGGCGCACTCCTCGAGCGACGCCGCCTGACGCGTGTCCTCCTTGACCCTGGCGGCGAGGAAGGCGGGCGAGAACCTCGTGACATCAAACTCGCTGCCCGCCCTGTCGGTCAGGACACGCCCTCCGGCGCTGAGGCCCCAGCCGACCCGCCCCAGCGTGAGCACCAGCGCCGAGACGGGGTCGCGCACCGCGGCCCACGGCCTCTGCAGCGAGGCCAGTCGTCTGCTGTCCCTGAGGCAGGCCTGCACAGCGGCAGGGGAGGCCTGGCCTGACCAGCTCATGGACACGAACGCCTGGACTGCCAGGCCCGTCGCAATCACCAGCGGATCCTGCCTCCAGCCCTGGGGGGCGCACTGCAGGCAGAAGGACAGCGCCGCGCCCGTCGGCAGGTTGCAGACGGCTTTCGCCGCCGATACCCTGAGCGCCCTCATGCGCCCTGGCGGGATTCCGTTGATGGCCGAGCCCCACAGGGCCTTTGCGGCGGGGCCTGCCCTCTGGATCTTGGCCTGCCTCATCCCTGCGCCGAAGATCCTGGTGAGGTTGTTGCCCTGCCTCAATGCCGCCAGCTCCCTGGCCACCTGCGTCTCGACCCTGCGGTGGCCGCCCGCCGTCGCATCGCCTCCAAGGTCGCGGTGGCCAGAGACGAAGGCTTCGTCGGCGAGGACCCAGTCGGCGTGCTGCTGCAATGCTCTCTTCAGACTCACCGAGGAGGCCAGTGCCTTGGTCTTTCTCCAGTTGATGGGGAGACGCTTTTCGCCCAGCATGCTGGCAACTCCCTTCGCGAACCTGGCGATCTGCTCGACGACCAGCCTGCGCGTGCCGATGCCGTGGCCCGAGATGTCGTCGATCACGTTGACCACCCTTCCGATCGGCAGCATCTTCCTCGACTTCAGCAGGAGGTCGTACAGCATGATCCTCGCCATCGTAGTCGCGCAGGAGCACCCAGCGATGACGGCGTCGTCGATGACCAGCTGCTCGCTGAGGGCTAGGTCGGCCCTGGCCCTGCGGGGGCCTGAGTACAGCACGCACAGCGCCTGGATCAACCCCGCGTTGAAGTCGCAGCCCCTCGCCGCGTCGAGGAGCAGCCCGTGGTTGATCTGCTCGTAGAACTTGCTGATGTCGAAGTAGACCGACGCAGCCTCGAAGTTCTTCTCGCGCGCCAGGCCGAGCAGTAGGTTGTGAATGTAGGCCGCCCTGTCGCAGCTGGTGTCAGGGTCAGCCCCCCAGAACTCGGGGAGCTTGTGGTCCCGCTCCCAGCCCGCGCAGTATTTACGCCTGATGCGGCCCCAGATGCGCAGCCAACTGCAGAGGAGCCCGATCGGGCGGCGGCCCCCGTCGGGCTTCCCCAAGAAGACTACGATCGTGGTGAACAGCTCCGACGGCTTGGGGGTGCCGTTCCCAAGCTGTCAAGATCGCTGCCAGACTGGCCGCGCACTCCCTGCCTAGGCTGAGGATGAGCCTGGGGCGGAAGGCGTCCCATCCCAGCGCCGTCTCCCTGGGAAAGGACCTCGCCGCTGCCAGCACATCCTCCGCCGTGATGGCGCCCAGACCCAAGGGCTCGTCCCAGTTTTCGGGGCGGACGCTGGCGGAGCCCTCTTTGTGCCAGAGCGCCTTCCACTCCTCAAGGATCCTGTCCAGGGCCTGCTGCCCGACCAGCGGGGCTGGAGGGGCATCCCACTCGACAGGGCCGAGGGTGGAGCAGGTCTCGAGGTTGGCCTGTTTGCTGATCGCGTGGGCGCCCCTGCCGTTCCCGCTAAGGGCCTCGGTCATGAAGTCCTTCCAGCGCTGCCTGGCTAGCTTCGCGTCCTCCCTGCGCTTGACCTCCGAGGCGGCGCCTATGGCCTGGAGGAAGATGCTGCCCAGCTGCGACCTGTTCGCGATCTCCGCCAGCAACGCCGACATCTTGGTGCCGCCGAACATCTCGCAGCCTTCTGCCTCGAACTTGGGGACCAAGTCAAGGGCGGCCGCCTGCAGTCGCTTGACGTGTTTGTGGTGCCTGGGCGAGGGGTGGGGCACCGCCGCCGCGGATGCCAGCTGAGTGGCCAGGCGCCCCAAGGTAATCCAGCAGCGCGTTAGCGGGCTGGTCCTGCGCAACTCCTCCGAGCGCAGGAGGTGGATGAGCTGCTTGGGCACCCTCTTGGGCCCCTGCGCCCTGCCACGGTACTTGGCGCCGTCCTTGATGCCGAAGAGGTGTATCAGGCGCTCCTCCGCCTGGTCGAAGAACTCCTTGATCGCCTCGTTTGGGCTCTCGCTCTCGTCCAGGAGCGGCGCCTTCCAGTCCGTCAGGGAGTCCTCTTCCTCTGGTTCTGGATAAGGAATCCAGGGTCTAGAGGCTGGTGGAACTCCAATCTAGACTTGGCCATGGATATCACCGCCGCCCTCATCAGATCAGGAATCCTCCAGGGTCTGCAGCATCCTGGGCGCATTCCTTACCAAACGCCCCCACCGTAGATCAGAGGATCGAAGTGGAGGAGGAGGAGGAGGAAGAAGAAGGGCGAGGAGGACAAGAAGAATGGAGGGAGGAAGAAAGACTGGTGAGTGTAACAGCGCCGTGCGCTACATTTGCTCGGTTCACCCCTGCTGCCGCTGCTGCTGCTGCTGCTGCTGCTGCTGCTGCTGCTGCTGCTGCTGCTGCTCCTGCAATAAGCACCCGAGGAGGGGGGAGGACAAGTAGGCCACTGAGACCAGCTCCATACGCTACGTGACGCCCCAGCGTTCTTCGCTACGTGATCTAACAACAAAAAATGGCAGCTTTTATAATATATAAACTTTAGTGAGCGTATAAGTTCTAAAAATACTTTACAATGATATTTACTATAATCATAAACACGCGCTAAATGACGGGAGCAACGAGGAGGCGGACGAGGACGAAAGGGAGGAGGAGGAGGACGCGGACGGCGGCCTGCCTCCGAAGTTGCAGGAAGGAGAAAGAGGAGGGAGGAGGAGGAGGAGGAGGAGGAGGAGGAAGAGGAGGAGGAGGAGGAGGACGAGGAGGAAGAAGAGGAGGACGAGGAGGAGGAGGACGAGAGGGAAGAGGAGGAGGAGGAGGACGACGATGACGACGAGAAGTCCGCGCGGATTTCTTGGGTCGGCGCTGGGCGCTCCCTTTAGCCTGCGACGCCGCTCCTCGGCGCGCTCACCGCGATCTGGGGAGGGGGTGCCCAGCGCCGTCCCAAGCAATCCACGCAGACCTCCAAAGACGAGGAGGAGGAGGAGGAGGAGGAGGAGGAGAAGGAGGAGGAGGAAGGGGAGCAGGAGGAGGAGGAGGAGGAGGAGGAGGACGAGGAGAAGAAGGAGGAGGAGGAGGAGGAGGGGGAGGGGGAAGAGGAGGACGACGAGGAGGCGTGCAGGCCGGCGCGCGCCCTGCGGTCTTTGCACTTGCCGTACCTCTCGCGGGCACGATGCCGCTCCTCGGCCTCGGTGCGCCGAGGCCGTCGGGAGGAGGGGCGGAAGCTCACTCCCCTCGACTGGGAAGGAGTGTCCTCCTCCTCCTGGCCTTCCTCCTCCTCCTCCTCCTCATCATCATCATCATCATCACCATCATCATCATCAAAATCAGCAGCATCATCATCAACATCGTCATCATCATCACCACCATGATCATCATTATCAGCAGCAGCATCATCAGCAGAATGCTCCTTATCCTCTTCCTCCTCCTCCTCCTCCTCCTCTTCCTGCTCCTCCACCTCCTCTGCCTCGTCGTCCTCCTCCTCCTCATCATCATCATCCGCCTCCTCCTCCTCTTCCTCCTCATCTTCATAATCAGCAACATCAGGATCAGCAGCATCATCAGCATAAGCATCATAATGATCAGCAGCGTCATCAGCATTAGCATCATCATCATCATGTACATCATCATCATCAGCATCATCATCATCATCATCATCATCATCATCATCATCAGCATCATCACCATCATCATCATCATCATCATCAGCATAATCATCATCACCATCATCATCATCATCATCATCATCATCATCATCATCATCATCATCTCCCTCATCATCATCATCATCATCATCATCATCCTCATCTCCCTCATCCTCCACCTCTTACTATGAGTATTGTGACTACGATTACGAGTGTGATGAATCATGCGAATATCGTGAATAGAGTTTTATCGTTACGGGTAGCATGGTTGATGTTCATCTGTTTACTCGTGTCATTAATAGTCTTCTTCATAGTGGAAGTAGTAGTGTTGTTCGTATGCCTATGCTTCTTCGCATACGAATTAGTCTTGCCATCCTTTATATCAAATTCAATAGTGTTACTGGTGTTATGAATAGCTATCGTAGTTTCTGTATGCGTTTTACTACTAGTACGTGTCGAATCAGTTATTATTAACATCACGACGATTACCATTGTTAGTGTTATTTGCATCCGCGATTGTATTAACAATACGAGTATCCTTACAATGATAGTTAGTGTTATTGCTACTATTACTATTCCTCCTCCTCATTCTCCTCCCCCTCCTCCTTCCTACTCGTCCGTACCGTGCGGACGAAGACGAGATCGTGATCACGACCCGTCCCTGTGCAGACTACTAGTGGGAATTGCGCCATTCCTGCACTCAGCCTATGTTCCTGCTGCGCTGTTGCACAGGCACGATGGCGGGCTCTGCCGCAGACAGCTGGATACATATACACACACACATATATGTATGAACATACATGCGTTGACCTAGATAAATACATCCATATGTCTATATATATGTGTGCACATGTGTACATCGGATGTGAGGGGTGGGATCGCAATGAAAAGGGGAGCCCCCCACAAGGAAATCGGTTTCGGTTCCGTGTTCGTGTCGCGCGTGCGGGCGACAGGAATGAACCCTCCTCTGGCTAAGGCGCCGCCGGGCCAGAAGACCGCCCCTCCCCCCCGGGTTAGTCGGCGGTGGCCGGGAGTGTCCCACCGTGGTGTCCGGATGGTGTCCCGTGGTGTCTCCGAGGAGGCCCAGGCGAGTGCGCGTCCAGGGGACCCCCCCAAGAGAAAAGCCGGGAGCGGCACAGCGCTCGCACAGCCGCAGCCCCGCCGCGGGACAGCCCTCCCGAAGCGAGAGAGGAGCCCGAAAGCCGAATGGCCAATGACGTTGCCCAGCCACTCACAACAAAACCGCATCGAACGACGGGGAGGCAACCCAACCCCCTGTGCGCGACAAACAAGGGTGTTGTCACTGCAATGGAATAACCACAGACACACGCGCACACCTGCGGAAAAAGAGAAGCCCGTGCGTCGAAACAAGGACACCACCACACAGCGCAGCGCGATTGTAAAGCAGAAAAACAGGTACTTGTGTCAACGCAAAGCCGCCGCCACGCAGGGCAGCGCGACTGCGAAGCAGAGCAAGGGGCGCGTCGCAACAAGAATACCGCCACACTGCGCAGCACGACTGCGAAGCATAACAACTAGGTCGAGACGACGATGCCGCTTAATAGTGCAACATGACTGTAAAGCCGAAGCACACGTGTCAAAAAAATATGCGAATCCGAAGCACACGTGACCATCACGGGACACCACGAATCACCGTGTCTCGTGGTGCCCCGTGATGTCCCGTGGTGTCCCGTGGTGTCCCGCGGTGACCCATGGTGTCCCGTGGCGCGGTGTCCCGTGGTGTTCCGTGGTGTCCCGTAAGGTCGATAGTGAAATCGAGAATGATAATGATATTGATTGTGAGATCGATAGTGGGATCCATGGTGAGATCGCTCGAGAGAGGAATAGCGAGATCGATAGCGAAATCGATGGTGATATCGACAATGAAATCGATAGTGAGATCGATGGTGAGATCGAGTGTCAGATAGATAGTGGGATCGATAGTGAGGTCGATAGCGAGATCGATAGTGAGATAGATAGTGTGATCGATGTGAGATCAACTGTGAGATCGACAGCGATACCGATTGTGAGATCGGTCGTGATGCCGATAATGAGATCGATAGTGAGATCGATTGTCATATCGGTTGTCAGATCGATAGTGAGATCAATCAAGAAAGGGATGGTGAGATCGATAGTAAGATCGAGAGTGCTATGGATTGTAAGATCGATTGTGAGATTGACAGTGGGATCAATCGATCAATCGAGTGAGACCGATTGGGAGATCGGCAGATTTCAGATAGTGAGATCCATAGTGATATCGATTGCGAGATCGATGGTAAGATCGATAGTGAGATCGACAGTGCGATCGATTGTGAGATCGGGTGTGGAATCGATCGTAAGATCGATAATGATATCGATAGTCAGAGGAATAGCGAGATCGAATGGGAGATCGATAGTAAGATAGACTATGAGACAGATAATGAAATCAATAGTGAGATCGATAGTGAGATCGATTGAGTGAGACGTTGGTTCCTCCCCCTCGGTATACAGTTGGCACCCCCAGGGCCCGAATATATGATCCAGGGTTGCCCCCTCACCCCTCCGCTGGGTGGGTGCGCCCATGAGCCTCGAGAACCCCTCGCGAATGGGATCGCTCCCCTCCCGTCCCCTTGTGGTAGTGGCCCTGTGGGCGTGGCGTGGAGGGTGCTGGCGCCTACCCCCCCCTCCCCCTGGGAGCGCGGTGGCTCGTCATCGTCGTCGTCTTCTGTCGGCGTCGGCGTCTCCCGTCGGCGTCGGCCGTCGGCGTTGGCGTCGGCGTTGTCGGCGTCGGCGTCTTCCGTCAGCGTCGTCGTCGGCGTCGGTGGCGTCGGCGTCGGTGTCAGCGTCGTCGTCGTCCCATCCATCCCATCTGGGGTGTGGAGCCCTGAGACCCATCACATCGGGGGGGCGGGACTGAATCTTCAACCCGGGATCAGATATCCGTGTATACCGCCTGCCGAGGTCCCCAAAGATCGATCCCCCAAGTGGTGGTTATGGTTAACTCCCCACCTCGGATAAGGCGCCCAGGAGCCACCCCCAAGGAGCGCCCAGGTGGTCCAAGATGGTTGTCGGCTGTCGTGCGGCCGTCATGGGTGACCCTTGGGATCGTTCTCGGCTGCCGTGGGAACGAACAAGGGCAAACGGCGACCGCGAAGTGTTCTTGAAGCAAATGCCGTCTGGCCCGAGACTGCTGGTCGTGAGCTGCACCAGAGGTCTCTGGGCACGGTGCGGCACGATCATAAGGATACGCGGTACAGTCGGGGCGTTGACCTAAGGAACGATAAATGAGGAACGAAGCCCCTTTTTTCCATAAGTTCAGCTTCGATTTCCTGTCGAACACATAAGGG